CAGCACTCAAATCCTTGACAACATCAACCTCTGCTTTAGTTTCTGCAGTCTTGTCATCTACAGGAACCTTTTCCTCAGTAGATGTTTCAACTGTAGTTTGCTCTGCCACTTTCTTTATAGCTTGATCTAAAAGTGTTTCCTCTGATACTTTTGCAAACTTTTCAGTAGGTGAAGGAGAAGGAGTGTGTGGTATCTGTGGAGCTTCAGCTCTGTCTGTTGTTCGACTATCTTCAGCTGTTAAAGCATCTTTAGTTATTTCATCAACATTTGTGACTGACCTATCACTCTCCAGTTTACTTGTGACAACTACATCCAATTCCTCAGTTTCTTTCCTAGCTGGCTCTTCAGTTTCTTCTTTTCTTTGTTTGACTGAAGATTCCTCTTTGATGAGAGCATCCTCAGATTCTTTAGGATGGTCTTTAGACAACACACCCACTGCATCCTGAGATGATAGCTTTAATAGAGGCTTACCGTGATCCATATTAATCTGAGATACATGCACCATCTCTTCTTCTATTTCCATGGGCAAATTATCTGGTTGCTCCTCATTCTTCTTAACCACTACCACAGCCTTTTGAACTTGGTGGTCTTCAGACAAAACATCCTCTTTATCCTGGGATGATAGCTCTAATAGAGGCTCACTATAATCCACACTAACCTGAGATACATGCACTATCTCTTCTTCTATTCCCATGTGTAAATTATCTGGTCTTTCTTCCTCCTTCTCAACCCCTGCCATAGATGCTTTAACATCATCAGTTATGGAACCTTTTGCTTGTTCTTCACTAACTACTTTATCTTTTGGCTGGGTAATGGGCTCTGTCATCACAAATTCTGTTTTTAGACAAACTATTTCTTCTTCAAGTGGCTGGGGAGACTTCTGGGTATTTTGTACTTCCTGTTTCATAACACCATCCTCAATCTCCTTTTGCCACTGATCTTCTCCAATCTCTGTTTTTTCCTCCTTTACATCTTCACCCTTTTCTTGAAATAATTTATGTGATATTTCGGTTTTACTGATAGTTTCTTGTTCCTGTTTCACAGAAGTAAGACTTTTACCAGCTATACTGTGTTTGTCATTTGTTTTTGTTTCTTCCTGATCACTTTTCTTAATTAATGATACATCAGCAGATACAGCAGCTTTTGAATCAGCTTCCACTTTCAAAGGTTCTGGTGCAGCCTTAAGCTTGCTGTCTACCACATCTGTAGCCTTGACCTTGCTGGTACTTGCAGTTTCTGTAGCATCTCTACCCCTGCTGCTGCTGTAGCTGTATTTGGAAGAAGAAGCAGCTGGAGCGCCGTATGGTGCACCATTTGAGTCAGTTTTGTTAGTTGAGGTGGAGTAAGGTGTAAAAGAATGCCTATAAGAGGTGCGGAGAGGGATCCTGTTCAGAGGAAAAAATGACAAGCAGTAGGAAAACAGTGTTAGTAAAGCAAGAAAAGATCAAATGTTAATTATTGAGGACTCAGATCAGACATAACAGTTGTGATCAAATTAATTACTGAGGCCTACATAAAAACTGTGATCAGTTCAATGTAAGCAAACAATAACATAGCATGAGGTAATTTACACACAGAAATACTCACACAGATAGTAACAGATAGCAAATGTTTATAACTGGCTTAGAAATAGTGTCAGAGAAATTATGTAAATGTAAATCTAAGCAACCGGACACTGTTTTAGATACCAGGTTTCATAGAAAGTCACAGGAAAAAGAAAACCCCTATTCATTCTTATTTCCTGATTAAACGATGCGCAAAAACTGCATTTTTGAAAATAAATAGTTTTGTCTGTGAAGTGTGCATTATTTTATTAGTTCTCTATCTCAATCTGTAACTAGAATGAAATGGTCTGGCCAACCAGTGAGAATGTAGTCAGATCAAACTACATATAAGAGTGTTTACAGCAGAATATCTGGAAGGAGGGTGAAGAGAAGACCAAGGAAAAAAATGGATAATAGTGTAGCTAAAACCTGCAAAAAAATGAACAAATCCATGACCCAAACCAACGGAGAAGCACAAGACAAATACAGAAAATGATGACACTGAGCTACAACCTGGTATCAGTGAGAGGACAATAGAAGAGTTTAACTATTTTAAACTGTGTGGATGTTTACTAAATTTATTTAAAAATCTAATTTAATTATACATTTGCATTCATTTTAGAAACAAAAAGTATGGAGAGGAACCAGTTTGTGATGCCTCCACTTGTCTTCTCCAAAAGGCATCCTGGGTCATTAGTCTGACTAATGCAGAAATGATCGACTATGGTCTCCACTGTGATGAAGCCTCTTGGAGACTAAATAGTCTGCACGATCCATGATTCTTCTTGTTTTTCTGATAGTCCATTCCTTGTGGCCTTGGCAGCCATGTCTGTCCACAGTAATCTGTCTCATATGCTCTCAGTCTTCTTCTTCTTTTATCCTCATATCAGGAGGCCAGTAACCTTAATGAAAGCTATTCTTCTGCCCAAATCTTCCCTTGTGCCATAAGTTTTATTTTGACTGAGGTTGACACAGACTAGATAGCTTCTCTGTTAGCAGCATAGAGTCTACATTGCTGAAGCACATGCTCAACATTTTCAGCCGCCAAGTTGCAGAAAAACATCTCCATGTTTCCAGCACCAACAGACTTGAAACATATGTTGGCAGTCCGTTGTGCCCTGTCCTTTGTCTGAATATGCAGTCAATCATTTCTAATATAGATGATCTTTACACACCATGCTGTCAAACTGTTGGGCATTCTCTCTTTGTCTTCCTCTATTTCTCTAACACTCTAACTTTCCTGCCATCATGAAGTACTCAACCTGATCTTCCTTTTCTCATTTGAAACAACTTTGGGTGTTATTTCTTTTTCAACACCATGATATTACTTTTCTGTTAAAGTTCTCGTGATATGACCAAAGAATAAAGAATTAATTTCTCTCAAGACATCGTTATTACTTTTTTTTATTAAACTCATTATTTCCATGATTCTCGAAGGGTTATAACAATTCCTCATATAGTAACGATAGAACATTATTAGCTCCCATCTGTTGCATAGTCAGTGTCTATGGTGAAGGCGTTGTGAATGTGCTTCATAATTCTGAGGTACGTGGTTTCATTGCAGCTGTGGGTGATCTGGCAACACACCATCTTGTACCGATTTTGACAAGAGTGCTGACAGCCAGCTATTCAGAAACAATGGCAAACTACTGAACATAAAGTTATCTATTAAACCCTAAAACAGGCAGCAAATGCTAGAGTCGGTTCGTTCTGCAGTATCCTGCAAAGGATAAGCAGCTAAATTGTTGCACAGTCCATGGGAAAAGCTCATGATCATAGATCAAAATAAAAGTACTGCATACATTTCAGGGTGAAGCCAATTCTTATCAGCAACAATTTTAATAATCTGGTGCATGAGTGAACAACTTGATTTGTCAGGATTCAATAAACAACAGTGATTTCAAGCCAAAACAAATTAAGCTATTAGCTGGACTACTTAACTAATTTTTGGAGCACTAGTTTATATTCATCATGAGTTTTCAATAGTTCATCAATGTTACTGTTATCTAAACATATTTAAAAAATTAATAAACTAAGGAAAGAAGCAAAACTGATAGATGTAAGACAAAAGTAAACTGTAAGCTACTTATTTACTGAATATTATGATTATGCATATACAAATACACACACAGAAAGAAAGAATATCACAAACTTTGGGGAAAAAGTAATAAGAATATAACATATAAGTAGTTGCACATACAATATTTTAAACATAAAACATGTACCAGACAAACAAAAACAAACTTAATAAAAGCCTAACAAAATGACCATAAAGAGAGCTGCAGATGAAGCTAATGTAAAAAGTGTTACAGGCCAGTAAAAAACAAGTAAACACAAAAATAAATGAAACAATGAGGCAGTAGTATGGATTTATGGAAAGGATCCCTTGTAATGCTTTGAGTGTATATGGTGCTAAACTCCAAATTTGTAATTCCACTGTAACTGTATGGGTCATATATAGATCAGTGTTGTAAAGAAACTTCAGTAATGAAATAAATGAGAAGACTACTGGAAAGGTTAATCCAGTCAACAAAAGCCTGCAGATATAACACTGAAAGGCGCAAAAGTCACAGCTATGCTGTTAACGGGCACAACGTAATTACATCTTCCGATGAGTGCCGAAGAAGACAAACATAAATTAAAAAGTAATAGAAACCAAAATAAAAATAAAAACCATCACAATTAAGATGACGAAACAAATAAAAAAGATTAGTTTGCGAGTATATGTAATTTTTTAATGTAATTTTTAGAAGGCTTAGGAATGTATTGGTAGAGAATGAAGTAACTTTGTAGATGTGTATACATTTTGTAAATGCAGAATCAAAACTAAATATTAGAAAGAATTGTTTCTCAAAAGAGACATTACAGACATCAGGACAAACAAGCATACATAAAAACAAATAAATACATTTTAGAAAAAATAGCAATTTTTTACAAAAATAGAATAAAAAGATGTAGCATTATCACATAAAAATAGATAAGCATAAACAAGATAAAGAGCATCAAGGAATGTGACTGAAGAGGAGATTTTTTTCAATGGTGGCAAGCAAGAAACGTGACAAAGACAGTGAATATGATGAATGAGGAAGAAGAGCTGAATAAGGTGGGGAAGGAGGAGGAGAAGAAGAAGAGGAAGAAGAAAAAGAGGAAGAAGTAAAAGAAGAAGAGGAGGAGGAGCAGCAGTAAGATGAGGAGAAAGAAAAAGAAGAAAAAGAAGAAGAAAAAGAAGAGGAAAAAGAAGAGGAGGAGGAGCAGAAAAAGAAGAAGAAGAAGAAAAGAAGAAGAAGAAGAAGAAGAAGAAGAAGAAGAAGAAGAAGAAGAAGAAGAAGAAGAAGAAGAAGAAGAAGAAAAAACAAGAAGAAGAAGAATGAAGAGGAGGAGAAGAAGAAGAAGAAGAAGAAGAAGGAAGAGGATGAGGAGAAGGAGGCAGCAGTACTAAAAATGACCTAATCTGACCTTGTTTCCTCTCCTTCCAGCAGCTTCCTATAGGCAGCAATCTCCAGTTCCAAAGAAAGCTTGGCATCCATCAGTATCTGCAGTTCAATGAGCATGGCCTCAAGCTCAGCTCGGAGCTTGTTCAACTCCTCCTTCATCGAGTTGATCTCCACCACATGCTCATGATCCTTCTGCTCCAATTCCCTAAGCATGTCTTGGTATTGTTTCTCCAACTGGGCATTCTATTTCAATGCAAAATGTGTGAGAAATGTTAGCTATTCCATACATTACATTGTCTTTGAGAGACAGGGAATACATAATGTTTGAGGCCTTGGAGGGCAGCAAGGGGCACTGGCTTAAAAGAAGTAGCTTCAGGATGGCACACTTGCACAGAATGATAGTTAACTCTGGCCAAGGGGCCAGGAAACAAATAGCTGGTCAAACAGAGGCATCAGTGCAAGAGCTGATCAATGAAAATTCATGCCCAGGAGACACAGTAATAAACACTGATGGGTCTGTAGTGAGAGATAAAAAAAAAATAGTAAGGGGGAGGGGTTTAATTGCAAAGGTTGATGAATACTGTTTGAAAACAGAGCCTCGGTATAAGGTCATAACATCCACTATGGGAATGGAGGTGGAGGTGGTAACAGCAAAGCTTTTAGATGGCTTGGGAACTGCACAGCCCAACATGTGGTTACTGTAATGGACTCACAGAGCATACTTTGGAAAACAGAAACTGCAGACGTGTAGAGTGGAACTTGATAAGACCCCGATCAGGAGCATATCATGGATTTTCTGTCCAGGTTATTTGGGTGTGCAGGGTAATGAGCAAACTGATAGATTGGCTGCAGCTGCTCCTCTGGGTGGTAAGCTATGTTATGATGAAGCATAAGTGGTGGAGACTCCCTGAGATCAATTGGATAGTGTAACAGAACAGACCAAGGATCCATACACTGACAGACTACATTGAGAGGGAAACATCATCATCATCATCATTGATTCTCTTTATGCCTAGTGGCACATGAGGCTTCAGAGAGAACTTTCCATGCTTTCCTGTCCTGTGCAAAATTCAGTGCAGTTTTCCATGTCAGAGATGCCGCACTCAGGTCATGTTTTCCTATCGTGGGCTTCCTTTGGGCTTTCACCCATGGTGTTCATGCTGACAGAGGGACTCTGTCCCAAGACAGCCGGACGTTTAGAGCACTTATTTCCTCTTCAAGTTTCAGTAACGTTGTAGGTTTTTTTTATAGGGCAGAGCTGTCAACACTGCACCCAACCCCTGAGCCACAGGACGGGGAGGCCAGCTTTAGTCTGGTCCCTCACCAATCACCTGTCAAGCTTGGGTGACCCTGCCAGAAACATACTTTCCTGTCGGCATAGATTACTGAGGCTCTTAAGCTTCCCCACCACTACAAGGTAATTTCCTTTTGGGGGTGACAGGGAAACATAGGCAGACTTTAATCAGGTTGCAACAGGTATTATTAGCAAATCAACCATTCGTTGGCTACTGAAGAGAAGGAGAAAGAGCACGTGTGAGAATGTCCCGAGTGCAGGGATGTCATTTTTAATTAAATTACCTATTCTTTAAGAAAACAGGTGCTTAAATCTAAGCATTTATTTTAATAGAAATTGCAAGAAATTTTGGTTCTTTTGAGTCCTAGCATTTCTCTCAAAAGATCATGCACTTAAAAATAGGTCTGAAACTTCAGATTCTGATAATAGTATAGATACAATGTCATTACATGAAACCCAGACGGTTAAAAAAAAAAAAAAGGCAGAACACAAAAGAAAATGCATGCAAAAAAGGAACTAGAAAGTGAAGTGAAAAAGATAAAGACAATATGGAATTAGTTTCATGCAAGAGCAAAGGATAGGCAGACTTTGTGTGTGTTGGTAGAGAGTTGATACTTCATTGGAGGAATAAGGAGAAGAGAAAAAAAATTACAAGAAAGGGAGAGTAAAACATAAACTAACTAATGAAATTAGATGTAGTTAAGGTTCTTTGGACATGTTTTGACTTAAAAACTTGTTGACAAGTGGTATGATTGATGGACAGTAAACAAAGGGAAGACAAAGAGATAACATTTGAACAAAGAAGACACAAACAATAGATTGCCCAGTTTTTTTGTCCAGCATTTCACTGTATCTTGTCAGGTACATAATGAAGCAAATAAATGAAGCCTTGTAATTAACACTTTGAGTCCTAAAGAACGCATCATGCGTTCATAGATTCCTAGCTAGAAGCCCAGTGAATGCAAGATGCGCCAATTTTACATCTCTTTTGACTACCCCTTGAATTTTACATCTCTTTTGACTACCCCTTGGGCCTTTGATACTAAACACCCCGGGACTCAAAAGAGTTAAAACACAGAATCGACTACATTCACAAAATACTGCCAAAGTTGCCGGAGATTGATGACTATGTCCTTTTGTCTGCATAATTCTGGACTAAACAGGTTTATAGCTGTTGCTTCCATGAGTCACAATAGTCAGTTGTTGGCTGAGGTATAGAGAATTAAAAAGCATCCTCCTTGTTTACAAAAGGGCCAGAATTCAAAAGGTGGCACACGATGGATGACAGCTGATCTTTTTGACGAGTCACATGATTCGTTGTTGTTGAGTTGTTGTTCTTAGTATTTTGCATTGTTTTTAAGCACCCACAGAGGAAATAAAATAATAAATACCTGAAAGGCTTGGCCACATGGGTGAGATGGGTCAAGAGCACTGGTCTGATCTGTGATTCTCATGACGGTGTGGGCGATGGAGCATGACCTGCTTTTGTTATCTACAGGGTCCAGGATGATAATGATGAAAAGTACAAGAAGCACTCAGCCTAACTGGCACATTACTTACTCTAGCCTCCAGGTCAGAATTACGAGTACGAAGGTCTCCCAGCTGTTTGTGAAGTTTCTTAGTTTCTTCCCTGGCATGGGTTACCTCCATGTTCTGTTTGGTAGCTCCAGTTCTAAATTCTTGGACCTGTGAAAATGAGAATATGATAACATTTCACACCATACATGTTCAAACAATCAATCAATCAATCAATCAATCAATCAATCAGCATTTTCTTTACAGAACACCACTCTCTTCACAACACACCTGAAAGTCTTTTTTTGTAGACATTTCTCCAGCCCCATGTGCTTTCACAGCCAGTGCGGCTTCAATTTCCTATATCCACCTTCACAGAGGTCAGCCTCTGCCTCATTTTGCAGAAACTGCACCCACCATCACCATTCTCTCTAAACCACCATGATGCTTAACATGTCCAAAAATACTCAGCTTTAGGGAGGAAGAGCCAGGGAATGCACTGAATGATGCTGGTTTCTAAATCAACTCAACTTAACTCATCAACAAACGTTAACAAGACCTCCTCAACACACAATCTGAACTAACCTTGAGATTGTAGAAGGTCTCCATCTCTCCTCGAATCTGGTCGACCTTCATGTCGTACTCCTGCTGGATGTCCCTAATTGCCTGGGACAACTCATTCTTCCAGAACTCACGGTTTTCTGAAGTGGTGTCCCTGTAGGCAAGGGCAGACAACTCCTTCAGTTCCTGTTAGGGGCAGATAATATAACTATTAATTCTTCAGTCACTGATGACATTCATTCAATTCATTATATCATGTTTTTTGTAAAATATACCTGGCTATGAATGGGTTACGGATTAGGGAAATGAGGGCATTTCAATGAAACCCTAATGTGAACACTGATTAGAGAGGCTAAAGGTGCTCGACTAGATTCCATCCATGATATTGAGGTGATAGCATATGATAAAATGGAATGGAGAAATAGACAGCTAGCCCTATGTGACACAAAATGGCATCACAAGACGAGGAAGAAATGAATGAAAGGGCTTAAATAATAGCAGTGAAAAGGAAAACATGAGTTACAGTAAAACATGCGGCAAGATGAAGGCAGTCTGGGCAGGAAAATATTGTGTGTCACCAAAAGATATATCTGTAGCCACAGACATTCGTGCAGGAGCATTCTGATGCAGAACCAAAATGTCGGTACATTACTTCGGAGGACAATTTCTGTGCTAATTCACTGAGACATTGCAAGGCTGTGCTACAGAATTCAACACTTGCGTCCTTTATTGGAAACATTTTGGCCATTTTTTTTAAAACAAAAATACCACTAAAATACATGACGGACTTTAAAAAAAAGACTCTCCAAATGTAAAATACACCATTTCATAGGTTTCCAAACCATTATTTCCAAGACAAACAAAAATCAAAGCACACTGATTGTCGAATATTTACATACATTTTAAAAGTCCAACGAACACTGAAAGGTCACATGATAGACTTCCTCTCTGAGAATCAGCAAAGATAATAGATTTTGATTTGGTATGCATAAAAAAATTGCTGCTATGTACATTTTTTTTAATGGTTTATATTACAGTTGCCCTGAAAAATTTTCAGTCTTTGAATTTAATGAAAAACGTTCATATATATCCTGAATATACATTTTTTCTACTTTTTCTTTCTTCTTTTGTCTGACTGCTTATGCTGTAAAGTGTCATAGAGAGGAGTTAGGTGTAGTTTCCTAGCCATATAGCTTGTGTCAATGTCATATTCCTTTTCTTATAGTGTCTGTTTTACTCCCTCCAGTCATCCTTTTCTTTTTCAGCCTTGTAGCTTTCTGTTCTTTTGTAGTATGATCTAGCTGATTCTGTTCTGTTTTGACTAGATGATCAAACCATTTTTTTAAAGTTCGAAGACATCATTTACCGAGACTGTGTCAATAAAAGTCAAATTTTTTTTCAAAGATAATGATTAATTGTGCCAAAAACCGACCTGCTCATGAACACTCTTCAGGAACTCCATCTCCTCCAGCAGGGTCTGGTATTTGTTTTCAGCATCCAATCTGGCAATGGTCTCATTGCTGAGGTCCTACAAAATTATAAAATTACAAAATTACAAACATATTCATATATATAGTACAACTACATTTAAATATACAAATACATTTAAATATACAGTACAAATACATTTAAAAAAACAAACAAATACATTTTAAAATACAATACAAATACATTTAAATAGCCAAAACAAATATGTTTAAATATACAATACAAACATATTTAAATGTACAAGACATTTAAGCATACAAAATAAAGTAAGTAAAATAAAGGATTCTTTTACCATCAGCAGAGCATTGGGTACAATGTTGGTAATCTCATATTTTTTTTAACTTTTTCAGTCCCACGCAGTTGTTATTTTACCCATTTCTTTCCCAAAGTGTGTGTACTTTTGAGCAACAACTTCTGTGTCTTATGGAATGTTTAAAAAAAACTGTGTCTTATGGAATGTAAAAAAAAAAATAAAAATAAGCAGAGAAGAGGGTTAAAATAAAATCAGACCAGAATGATTTAACATATCACAAGAATGGGGGTAAAATCAGTTAATACACATTAAATAGAGGGTAACCACTAAATACAAGGTGCATTCCCTAATACTGAAAGAGTTAAAAGACTAGTAGGGATTCGAATTGTGATGTGGACATCATCATACTACTATTTTTACTTCCTGGGACATTCCTGGTACCAATTGTAGATAGGATTGTTAAGGGAATAAGGTCAATTATTAAAAAATCGGCCAAAGTGCAGATTGAAACCTAACATCTTCAGAACAGCAGGCAATCATCTTGCCACTGCACTCAATCAATCAATCAATCAGGGGCCATCTCTACAATGAAGGTTGGCTGCAATGGATCTCAAACATGCTGTATCTTTTGTCTTGTTTGTAACCTCTCTGAAACTGCTGTTGATCCATCTCTTGATATTATCTATCAACTTGTATCGTCTACCTCTTGATCTTTTTCCCTTGACTTGTCAAAGTACAATACTTACTCCCCTGCACCCCCATGGCTCAGATATGCAATATAATGTCATGCTACCATGTTGATGGGAGATAAGATAATTTTGGCATAATTTACAGTGACATGGATAAAAATCTGGCACACTAGACAAATGGCAAGAATCAGATAAATGATTCCATACATTAGCAAACTGTCTAGTGTTACTGCACTCTTAGCTGGCAAATATTACTGCACTCTTAGCTGGGAAATATTACTGCACTCTTAGCTGGGAAATATTACTGCACTCTTAGCTGGCAAATATTACTACACTCTTAGCTGGCAAATATTACTGCACTCTTAGCTGGCAAGTATTACTCTTAGCTGACAGGGGCTGTCATTACCCAGGATATGAAATTATTGTAGGTAAATTTTAAAAACAATACATGCACATTTGTGCAAACACACACACATATGCACGCGTGTGCAAAATGGAACAATACAGGCAAACTCTAATCTCGTGCAATAATATGCAAAATAAATGTCAAATACAAGGTTTTTTTCTTTGTCATCTGTCATTCTCTTTATATGTATTAGCCATTTCAGTCTATTAGCCTTCCTGATGGCAGTTTTCAATGATGAATGGACAGATTATTCATTTCCCTTTCAATTTTTTTGCTGTCTGCATCTATGATGTGTCTAAAGAATTATCGTAAAACTTTGTTTTCAAAGACTTGAAATGAGACTTTAACACCTTTAGCTGTGCTCCAGGTTTCAGAGCCACATGAGACAACAGATCTTATCTGTGTTTTGTATACTATGATCTTGGTTTTATGAGACAGAGCATTTGATCTCAGTAGACATTGTAGCATGAGGTAGACTTTACTTCCAGATTGTATTCTAGATTGCATTTCTTCTTCTTGAATATTCTTACTAGATGACCAAACCATCTGATCCCTTTTTCAAAAAATTTGCTTCATGGTGTTTGTTCTCACAGTCTTTCTAATAATATCATTTCTAATTTGTCTCTGTTCTAAAACAAAAACTTAACAAACAAAAAAAAAAACAGAAGAAAACACAGAAGAAAAAGAATAGGAGAAAGATTACAAAGGAGAGTACAAAGAAGAGAGGGAAGAGAAGGAGGAGGAAGAATAATAATAATAAGAAAAAAAAATGATGATTAAGAAAATGAAGAATAAAAGAAGAAGGAGAATATGAGGAGGAGGAGAAAGAAAGGGGAGAAAAGAAGAAAATGAAGATAAAGAAAAAAAAGAAAAAGAAGAAGGAGGTGAAGGAAGAAAAATAGGAGAAGAAGAAAAAGAATAAAAAGAAGAAGAAGAAGAAGAAGAAGAAGAAGAAGAAGAAAAAGAAGAAGAAGAAGAAGATGAAGAAGATGAAGAAGATAAAGAAGAAGAAGAAATAGAAGAAGAAGAAGAAGAAGAAGAAGAAGAAGAAGAAGAAGAAGAAGAAGAAGAAGAAGAAGAAGAAGAAGAAGAAGAAGAAGAAGATGATGATGATGATAATAATAATGATGATGGTGATAAAGGGAAAAAAACATGATAACAAATGTACACAAGCGATGCTTACAATTCTGAGCTTCTCAAGTTCTTCTTGCAGCCTGTTGATTGTGGCCTTGTCTCGCTGTCTCTCTGTGTCCAGGGAGTCGTTGGTACGCCTCAGCATGCGGACCTCTCCCTCCAGCTCGGATACTTGTTGGTTGAGCTTGTTGATTGTCTCGCGATCCTGGCTCCTCCATTTCTTGGCTTCGTCCAGTCTAGTGTGGGAAGAACAGGATGCACAATCAGACAAGTACTTATAATATTTGGTGGTGATGTTGGGGGTTCTCCATCTTCTTCTTGTTCTCCTTCTTCTTCTGCCTAGTCTTCTTATTTTTTTCTTCTTCTTCTTTCTTCTTTTTCTTCTTCTTTCTTGCTTGCTCTACTACTCTTCCTTATTCTTCTTTTCCTTCTAATATTCACATAGATTTAATTTAGAATATGAAAATATCGATTGTATCTGGCTGGAGGTTAAGCTGTTAAACCAGCAGTCACTTCTCATTGGCTATCTTTATTGAAATCCAAGTGAAGACAACAACTGGTATGACGACTTTACTTCTATGATGGACACAGTTTTTAGTGTAGGGAAATAAATTATTCTTCTTGGCGATTTTAACATTGACAGAAATAAACCCAACCAGACATGGGAAGATATCATTCTTTCATTTAACCTTAAACAGTCAATGAACTTTCCCACTAAAGTTACAGAAACATCCTCAACACTAATTGATCATATATATGTCTCTCACCCAAAAATATTATTGAATGTTCTGTCCCCGCTACGGCTATTAACGATCATTATCCTGTATGCTGTGTATGGGCGAAAAATTGGTTTTAAAACACCTAAAGATAAACATATCGCAGTTAAATTTAGAAATTTAAAAACTTTTAATCCTGACTCTTTTTTACTAGATTTGCGAAACGCACAGCTAGACCATGTTTATCAGCTTCCTGAACCGGACGATTCTATAGCCTACTGGACGAAAACAGTATATAGTGTGTTTGATAAACATGTGCCAAATTAAAGAACTTACAGTAAAACATCAAACGAAATTACCATGGATTACTAGCGAGGTTCTGGAAATTATGAGAGAAAGAGATACAGCACACAAGAATAAAAACCATGATCTTTTCTGTAAACCGAGAAATAAGGTAAAATATTTAATTCGTAAAAATAAGAAAGATCATTTTAAAAAAATGATTACAGATAAAACAAATAATGCAGACATATGGAGGGCTATCAACATCCTAACCAATAAGCATTCTTCAGATCAATCAAAACCAAAATATCTAACATGTGATGATTTTAGTTGTTTCTTCAAATCAGAAACAGAGAATTTAAAGTCCACAATACCAGACTCACAGTGTGACTTAAGCTTACTAGCATCATTCTGTGAGGAAAAATGCACTACGACTATCCCTTCTGAGATTCCCCTTATGTCTGTTGCTGAAGTTTATAATTATCTCATCAACTTCAAGCAAACAAACTCCTCTGGCTTGGATGGAATCAGTAATCGAATCCTTCGATGTGCTGCAACTGTCGTTAGTGATTCCTTAACGTTTATATATAATCAGTGCCTTGCCAAGAACTACTTTCCATCAGCATTTAAAATTGCTAAGGTTTATCCTCTGCTTAAATCTGGTTCAGCTGACAACAATTCTCTAGGCAACTATAGACCCATTTTTCTAATATCTTTGCTATCTAAACCACTAGAGAAACACATACATAAAGTAATGTTTCAGCATTTAAATAACAATAGTCTAATAGTCGATAGCCAGTCAGGGTTCAGACCTAAACACTCTTGTCAAACTGACCTGACAAAAATGACAGACAACTGGCACCTTAACATCAACAATGGCCAAATTTGTGGTGCCGTATTTGTTGACTATAAGAAAGCCTTTGACATGGTTGATCACAATATTTTAATTAGTAAACTAAAGACCTTAAAAACCAACGAAAATTTAGTGACATTAATAAAATCATTTTTGTCTGATAGGCAGCAGGTAGTCTCCCTCAGTAACCGTTATTCAAAACCCACACAGTTAAATATAGGCGTTCCTCAGGGTTCAACATTAGGTCCACTACTGTTTGCTACTTATATTAATGACCTTCCGTTACATCTCAGTATAACATGTGATCTGTTTGCTGACGACTGTACAATATATACTAGTCATGACAATTGTAATAAATTAGAACGTTCTTTACAGAAAGAAATAGATAAACTCATAAAATGGAGCAATGATAATCACATGCAAATTAACATTAATAAAACTAAATCTAGGGTAATAACAACTAGGCAAAAGCTACAAACATCAGCTGTACACAAGCCACCGCTTGAGCTCTTCATTGACAAGCTACCTATTGTTAATGTAGCTGAACACAAAATATTAGGTGTTTTAATTGACAGCCATCTAACTTGGAGTTCCCATGTTCATGTCATGACAAAAAAAGTAGCACAAAAAGTATATCAACTTGGAAAAATTCAGCACTTTCTGGACGAAAATACACGTAAAATATTTTACGTATCCTACATTCAAACGCATATTGACTATTGTTCCACAATTTGGGATGGCTGCTCCAAATCTAATGTCAAACGGCCGAGTTCTCTACAAAATAGGGCCTTACGCCTAGTTTCCGATGGAGAAAAATCTTTTATATGGACATCTAAGGCTTCTGCCATTTAGTAAACGTTTAATTTTTAATAAGGCCAAATTTATTCACAAAATCCTATCTAAAGATACTCCAAATTACATCGACCGATTTATTCAATCTAATCCTAAGAATAGCAAGCGACTAGGTTTATTACATTTGCCTAAACCCAGAATTGATTTATTTAAAACAGGTCTAGCATATTCTGCTGCTCATTTATGGAACCATCTTCCACCCGATCTGAAAACTACAAAAAGTCCTTACTCATTTAACCGCAAACTCTTTCATTTCATGATTATCAGTGATTACATGCCACCTTTAATGTAGTTAATAATCCACAATGCATTACTAGTTATAATTAATTGCAGTACGTATGATATGTTTGTATGCGTATATTTGTGTTTGTGTGTATGTATCTGTGTGTAGGCGTGTGTATGTATCTGTGTATAGGCGTGTGTCTGTTTGTCTGTATGGTGTCTGAGTGCGTGTCTGTGTGTGTGTCTGTCTGCGTGTCAGTGTGCGTGTCAGTCTGTGTTGTGTGTCTGTGTGTTTTTTTTAAATGTCTATCTGTATGTGTGGCTGCGTGTGTGTCTGTGTGCGTATGTGTGACTGTGCGTGTCTGTGTGTGTATATCTGTGTATGTGTGGGTGTTGCGTGTGTCAATGTGTGTGTCTGTTTCCCTGCCTGTGTGTGTCTGTGTCTGTCTGTCTGTCTGTCTGTCTGTCTGTCTGTCTGTCTGTCTGTCTGTCTGTCTGTCTGTCTGTCTGTATGTATGTATGTATGTATCTATGTGTGTGTGTGTGTGTGTGTGTCTGTGCGAGTATTTGTGCGTCTGTGGGTGTGTTAGTATGTGTTTGTGTACGTCTCTGTGTCAGTGTGTGTGTGTGCCATTATGTGTCTGTAGGTGTGTATGGCTGCATATGTATATGTGTCTGTCTGTGGCTGTGCGTGGCTTTGTGTGTATATATGTGAGTCTCTATCGGTGTGTCTATTATATAATGTCTGCGTGTCTCTGCTTGTGTCGGGTTCTGCGTCTGCGTGTATGTCTGTGTGCGTATGTGTGACTGTGCATGTCTGTGTGTGTATATCTGTGTATGTGTGGGTGTTGCGTGTATCAACGTATGTGTCTTGTTTCCCTGCCTGTGTGTGTGTGTCTGTGTGTATGTGTGTGTGTGTATGTGTGTGTGTGTGTATGTATGTATGTGTGCATGTTCGTATGTATGTGGATGTATGTGTGTACTTGGTGCCTATGTGTTTGTGTGTAAGTGAGTCATTAGGCTTGTGTGTGTATGTGGGTGTGTGTGTTCGCGCGTGAGCGTGCACCCATATTTTACCAGCCATGCTTTTGTTTTTGACTTCATATATATAATATGCATATTATTACATGAACATAACATGCTTCATTGATGAAATACAACTGCTGTGTGAACAGATTGAAGTTTGGAAGGGCCGAATGTAAGACAGGCCTGCGTGCCTAATTTGTAACCCTTTGAAAATAAAGTTCGTTCGTTCGTTCATTCGTTTGTTCTATACCTCTTTCTTTCTCATCTTCGTTCATCTTCTTTTCCTCCTCTTCTTTCTCTTCATCCCCTTTTCTGTTCTCCTTTTTTCTCTCTCCTCTTTTTCTTCTTCCCTTTGCCCCTCTCTCCTCCTCCTTTCCATACTTCTTTCATCATCTCCCCCCTTTCATCAACCACGGGAGTACAGACACTGAACAAATTCAAGCCAAAACTAAATTAATGTGATTTTGCAGCTGCAGTTCTTTACCGGATGATGTACTCTATATCAGATCAACCCTCCCTAGCTGTCTCTTATGCCATACATAGTAGGTTACGAAGTTACTCCCCCATACACTATCTTTCATTATATCCATATTTCATTCATTCCTTCTTCTCAGTAATTTTTTTTTTTTAAATCTTGCTGTTCATTATTTATTGTTCCCCCCCCCCCCCCTTTTCTATCTTTGTTCTTTTCTCTCATAGTAAGAATGGCGATATGAGAACAGATGTTCTCAAACAGATCCGAATAATTTAGATACTGCCGAACACTGTAAATCCATGAGCCTATAAATTTTAGTATAATTGACGATCACTTTATCTAATGTAGAAGCAACTTCCCTTGGTGATCCACCAAAACAGTCCAATCAAGGTAAAGATTTCACCAGCTCTAGCGTCATACAGAAGAGGATTACAGTACTGCAGTCTACAAAAGACCGTTTTGTTCCATTATCTAACTCCGCTCATATCTTTGACCGAAGAGAATTGAATTAAAAACGAAAGGAGGAGAGGAGAGATGGAGGTAACAGCTGTCAAAAGAAAGCTAGACTAGTGACAGGCTGAGATTAGAGATAGCGTTGGGGTGATTGGACCAGACTAGTTATGTGGTGAAATTAGAGACAGTGTAATTGAGATTAGACCAGAGCAGTGATCTGGTGAAATTAGATATAGTGTTGGGGAGATTAGATCAGACTAGTGATGGGGCTAGACTAGTGATGTGGTGAGATTAGAGATTGTGTTAGGGAGACAGGATCAGACTCCTAATCCTAATCTTCTAGTTACGTTCAGAATT